GACTTTGTGTATCTTAGGCAGTCCGTATAATCGAGGAATGACCGGATTGCTAGAAATTAAATTCCACAGCTGACCGCTGATTCATATTATGTTAATTCATTTTGTTTGTTTCTTGTTCGTGAAAGGTTTCCAGGAATAAGTAACTGACGAATTGTTTCAACAATTCGACTTATTTCATATAAAATGGTTGCCCTTATGCTAGCACGATAGCATTATCAATAACATAGACTAACATGGTGAGAATCAGTAGATATGATAATACCTAATCATCATCTCAATAATTCCTTTGGTGGGAACATTTCGCACAAAAAACTAAAAAAAAAAGAAGACTGGAACTGTCGATCTATTAATTCATAACTTAGTTCTCACCAGCCAGCTGCCTAACCCGCCTCTCAAAAAGAACCCCCGCTGTTTCATTGAACCTAAACCCAAAGAGCAGGCAAAAATATCCCGCAAAAACGTAGGACAAAAGCGTCATAAGAGGTACCATAAATAAACATCCGAAATGCCATCGCTAATACACCTAGAAGAATAAATAATTCTAGAAGTAGGTAACGCAACGGTAAACAAGAAAGGGGGCCAACTTCGAGTGTATAGTGGCAGAGTTACTCGGTCGGAGCGCAGGTAACAGATAAAAAACGTTACCTTACCATGAGATTCAGAAAAAAAAAGAACCCGACCGAACCAGTTATGTCACAACGTTGTCATATCTTCTACATGAACGCTGTGAAGTTGTGGACTGTGGGAATATTTTTCGGATAATATGTTTTGACACTGGAGACTGTTGGTTAATTACCAAGTCAGGCTTCATTTTGAGTTCAGTTTCAAGGAATTGATGCATTTTTCAATGAACTTGTGGTTATTTTATGCGGAAACGTCACTATCTAGCTCACCAAGGTTTCTCTTTTACATTTTCAGAACTCACCTAGGTATAAACGAATTGATCATATACCTACTAATGTTTCAGAAATAGCTACATGATAGGAAAAAACATAAAAATAAGCCTTGACCTGATCATAAAAGTCTCAGTCTAGTCTTATTATTATAATAAGTGTTGTATTGCAATTAGGCTAGAATTTGTTCCTAATATCCGGAGAAAAAAAAAGATGAATCATGGAGGCGTTTTGTGTAAAGAACTGATTACCAAATCCGAAGAACGAGTCGGTATTGCATCTAAAGAAGCTGTAGTGTTTTTCAAATTCAGAGGTAATGGCTTCTTTACAAGTATGGAGTACCTATACTTGTGAGAGTTGTTTTCCTCTCGTATTGAGCATTCTGTCGCACACCATCATATATCTATGATTTGGTAACTAAAATTCTTCATTATACATTATGGTTCACATATTTTGATAATTCGATCTATCAGACACTTTCCAGGCCAGCCAACCAGCAACCACGATCCAAGAGAATGTGCATACTCCAGACAGTATTCATAACCGCCAGAACCAGAATTCCAAAGAGTGACGAAACATCGGCAACAATGCATGGTTGTGAAAGCTGACGCTCGTGACGTAGCAGACGTTCGAGGGCATGGTACGGAAAGATAAGTTTACTATAATAAGAACTGGTCAAGCGACTGATTTCGAAACCGGTTCCACTTTGCAGTCGGCGAAGTATTTGGCATGACAGACTTTTACGTCACGCAGCGTGCTCACCGCAAAGCAAACATTAACATGGTCGGTGCCATAACGTAGTGAAAGCTTACGGATTGCCAAATTATGTTTTCTTATATTGTATAATCGCTGCTTTGTCATCAGCACGACGTATATTTTGAGGCTGTTCATTCAACTCCTGGAACTTCAATTAATTCGAGCCGGGTCCGGTGAGAATAAATGTATTTCTTGTAACGGAACATTCAACGTGCACACAACGGGATTTTCAATCAATACATAGTTAATTAATTCTGACGAAAAAAACAAAATGCGCATACCGAATTCTTGACCAATAATTTTGTTACGGGATCAATAACATCGAATGATTGATTTATGATTATAATTACATGATTTCAATTATAGGTACAACCAGCACCTTTTCATCCAATTCCTATCCAACATGATATACCAATTTTCTGTAAGTCGAGGTGTATTGAAAATACTGTAGTGTGTACAAGGTATTTCATTACGATACGCAATAGCTCCATCGAAAACAAATTTGTGAGCTACCTAGGACCTAGATGTTCAATCCTCAATAGATCTTTCAAATCGGAATGTGAGGACACAGTTGAGAGAATATATACTTCTCTCAACTGTGGTGAGGAGCGACCGAGAAAGCGACACAACAACGGCAGACCACAGAGAAGTTCATCAACTATTCACTCAACAGACAGAGCGCTACCTACTGAAGCTAAGCTACGCGAACCAAAGTTGAAGCTGATCCGAGGTTTTCTTACAGAACACTACCATTTGGGGTACCCACCTCGGTACCCACCACAGGAAATTTGCATATCTTTCGACATGTCGCAAAGTATTAGTCCGCTAAGATTTAAACCCTCTCTGGAACAGACATTTCCAGAGCTGAAAGGATCATTCTAATAGACTTAGATTTCATCAAAAGTCTAGGATAAGACAACCATGCGAAACATGCGGGGAAACGTATATTCAACACCTGCAGGAGTGAAAAGAATATTGCAATAGTCTTCCCCAGAAGTTCAAGACATGCAAATTTATCAGACTATTCTATAATATAGGCTTCATCAGAAGTCGTTTGAACTAGACTTACAACTAATGAATGAGGACAAGCGATCATTTCGATTTGAACTGCACCTCCTGGCAATTTTTTCGGTTTTATTTGGCTGTTTCAATCCCACATCCAAAATACAACGATTTTCAGTCGATTCGCCTCGAAAGTATGTAGACAAATCCCAAGTTAGTAAGCCACTTGGTAACTGTCGACATTTTTAGTAGTTTTGATTCAGACCAATTATTATTTTTAATCGTTCATCAAAGACAGACATGTAATACACACGAAATATACCTACATAAGAAAGTCAGGAATAACTAAGATTGAAGAGAAGAGGAATAAAAATAGAATCTGAAATCTTGAGAAAATACTGCAATGGGATCCTGAATCAAGGCTTCTATTATTCAAATATAACGATGGAGGAGTCAAACAAATAAGTACTAATGATAAATTCTTTTGATGAGCTCAGCTGACTAACCAAACGACTCATTGACTTCAATTCAGTTCATTTGGTAGATAATTGTAATTCTACGACATGAATGTGTAGGCCGAATTTGTAACAAGTGAATAACAACTCGAAATTACCGCTAGCATCTCTGTATTATCGAATCGAACCCACTAGAACCCCATCCATTTAAACCAGACTTTCTGACGTCATAATATTCTAGACACGTAACGGTGACGCGCTACTCTTTGTTGTGTTCTGCGAGTATTGCTTAGTTCTGTTCGAGGTTCTGTTCTACACCGTACTCAACATGTCCTCTTTATCGTTGTGTTTATGATTTCATATTCCAAGCTTACACATCCGGCCTGGCGTTTGATAACATAACATAACGAATATGATTCACGAGGTTGGTTTATGGCTTTCCATTTCAGAGGATTGATAACGGCCAAAGAACTCCATTATTTAAATTTGTGTTGCGAGTTTGGCGGAACTTGAAGGACGTTTTTCAATGATTAGATAAGGTGGCAGTTACAGGAAATGGATGCTACTTCCTTATGGTAAACGCGCTTATCATAATGATACACTATTATGCATATTTATTCATCGTTAAAATGGCTGATTCAAATGTTTTTTATCTGAAGATTGAGATTGCTCCAATAAGCATTCCGTTTATCCGTTTAATTATTATAACTATCTCCATATTGCATAGTGCTGACACTGCTAAAATACTTTTGAATGCATAATTAAAAGTTAAGTAAATTGCATATCTACTCATGAAATTTGGAAAATGCGAGTTCCATGAAGCTCCCACTATGGAACTGATTTTATATCTACTTCGAGATCTACTCATATTATGATACAACGCCCAGTACGACCCTATCATATATGGATGTGGACATGTGGTACATGAATGATAAGAAGATATTAATTATCAATAACGAAAGACGCAAAATATTTATAGGTTCATTTCATGTAGATGGTATCAACAAAGTCAATATGTTGTTGATGTCTATAGAGAATAGCCAATAGCAAATACGTTTTGGAACTCAGTCTCATATTGTTTACACCTACCTACCTATCTACCTACCCATCTTTGACTAGGTAGGAACTAATTTTTGTGCAAAATAATAAACGGGGACATTTCCCCCAGTAGGTACTCATTTCTCACAAAATCTCACTGTTATATTCTCTTCGAGCAAAGAAAATTATTACCATCAAAAATGGTGATTTATACATGACTGGTACAAACAGTGACGCAGAGATCGCATTTACGGATAAATTTAGGTTGAGCAAATAGGTCATCATGAAATTAGTCCGCAAATCACACATATGAGTTGTTGGAGATCTTGTTGGTGTCAATCTGATCAGGTATGAATAAAATATTCGATATTCACTATCTCATTGTAATAGCCCAATCATGATATATCGCTACGTTTGAGATCATATCTTTGAAGTCTCAATATGCTTGTTACACGTGTGCATACTTATAAGATAAGATAAAGAACTATTTACTTTCATTAGTATTTCCTGCCCCTATAATTAAGAGTGCCTTAGTTCTTGTAGACTTTTACCTAGGACGTTTAATATGATGAAGTAATATATGTATGTAGTAGGTATATGTACTTCGTTGGTATGTAAACATATTGAGATTTCTCTATATGTATTTGTTGTTGGCGGAATAAGCTAGTACCGAAGACCCACTATTCATAAATAATAATCAATAAGGTAGGTAGGTTACTAGGTCTGAATATAGGAAGCTCCTGAATAACTATTCGAAGCGCATAAACTCAAGATTCAGATGAAATGCTCATCAATTTTGTCATCAAACTGCGTTCCTCTACGATTCCCCATACCTAATCCTAGCAAACTATCGTACCATTTGGTTTGAATGCTGTCCCAGCGTCGAACGAAGCAGTCCTGATGGGATGTTTCTCCTGTTTGAAAGTCCTCTCCGTGGATATAACGAACGGCTGCGCCAAAGAAACGGCCGGCAAAGATTCCCCTCTGGTCAGAGGAGGCCTAACGGAGGAGCCGTGCTCCTCCACCGACATCATTCTCTTCGCTCCGCTGACGTCCCCGTTACCGTGATGGTGACCGTGATGGTCGTCATCCTCTGTGGCCGACATGCCCCGCTTGATGCCTTGCTGGGGCAGGGCAGTGGGTCTACCGTTGGCCGAGTGATGGTGGGCGGACATCTGATGGTGAGCAGCCAAGTGTGCTGCCGTGGGCAGACGGACGGCGGTTCGCGCTGCCATCTCGTGCTCGGCAGTCGCCTCCAATTGCGGCCGGGACATCGAAGGGGTGCCCCTGGGGGGCGGCTGGGCGGCCTGGTACTCCGCCAGCATGTTCGACCGCGAATGGTGCAGCCCGTACCCGCCGGAATGGTGGGTGGCCGTCTGCTGTCTGCTCGAAGTGGCCACCACCTCGCCGTTCTGGTGCTCGTGGCCGGTGGCCGACGTACGGTGCGATTTGGTGGTGTGGCCGGATCGCTGCTCCTGGAACCCGTGGGCTCGCTTCATCTGGCGAGCCGTCTCCAGGACTATTTCTATCCGGTCGGCACCTTCGTAGTTGACGCAACCTCTGCACACGGCTTCGGTGAAGTCGTGGACCATTGCCCAGGGCATCCGCGGAAGATCGCACAGATAGCATTGCTGCCGCTTGGCCTGCTGCATTTGCATGACGGACATCTTCACCATCAATGTACGTTTTCCCACTGCGAATACGAAATTTCGATGCTGCGTTACGCGCAGATCCCCGACGCCATATCTGATTACGCGGTTGTAGCGATAGCGGTAACCGAAGTTTGTTCTACACGCCGACACTGTTCGAACGATGCGCTCTATCTAACTGAATTCTCGTTTCTCGTGTTATGCATGGGGCCCCTTTACTAGCACTGGCAGGGGGGTACGCGTCTCGCTCGGTAATCGTTATATTGGTGACGTCACGCTCTTTTGGAGACCAATAGCAGGGTACGCTACGTCACGATTTGCGCGCGCTGCAGCGGATGGTATATATGGCGCTGGCTCTTGTAGAATCGTACCATATCGTACAATCAAAATATCTAATGGTGAAATGAATTGAGCGACCGTGGCTCAACTGAACAACGGGGATTGTCCATAAGTCCATGACGTGCGGAATACGCAGGCAGAAAAACAACAATGGTATATATCCATTCCACGTTTCTCGAAATGTGCATGATATGCAGTTTGTTTCGTAAACAAAACAAACAAATTTTATGTTTTGAAATTGCGAAACTAGGTACTTCATCTTTGTAAATATGGGTATAGATATATTACTTTCATTCCATCACCTATATAAAGTAACTTGAGTAACACATAACATTATGATTTTTGCTTTACTGCGTAATAAGTATAGGTTTAGATAAGTATTATTTACGAGAGGCATCTACCTATCATCAATGTGGATTTTCTACATACCTAAATACTGGAGATTGAATTCCCTCAATTCCTAATAAATCCCCATATCATTTGTAATTAGACCAAAATTCTCATCTGAAATCCCTCTCTATTCACACCTACCTATATTTGGTCTCTTGCATGATTAGCTTTTGAACAATATATAGGGTGTCTGTATAAGTAGGTATCTTGAGTATGTTCAAAGAAAGAGCTGAATCTTATCATTACTCTCACAATGTATAGGAAAATCAGGCATTGCAGAAAACATTTTAGATACATATATCATATATATCAATCTATGAAGGTGCCCATCAATTTCAAGAGCCTGATAAATATTTATTACACATACCTAAGGCTTGAATCGTGAATTTAAATGAAAAATTATCTCAATTAAATAATTTTTACATGTTGTATAAGTGATATTCTAATTAAACAAGACGAACTTGATAAGAGTATATCGACCTACATTCCTACATAATTATATAATATTCAAGTATTAAATCAAGTCTCTCAGTCCAACATGGCATGAATCTCGGCATGAATATAGTAAATACAGACAAGATTATGAATTTTTGAGAAATTTTTCACTAACTCGTTTGCGTCATACTTAAATGAATAAGTAAATTTTGAAACGCGTTGATCAATATGAAAAAATGATAATTTTGGGATAAAGAACTTAGAAACGAGTCAACGAATCTGAAATGTTTCTTGTTTTCATGGCCTTCTAGATGTTGTTATTTTGTGGTTATATCTACCCATCTACTCTTTGTACACAACTACAAAATCATTTCTGATGTTTGTCTACTCTACTCTATCTACAGACATTATGTGAACATCTGTGGTAAGCATTCGAAAAAAGTTGCGTTATATTCCTAGTACAATATTTCGTTTTTCGATTCAATTGAATATTAAAATCACGATGATGTAATAAATCAGTAAGGACAAGGAGCGTGTTGATTGGACTTCGATTTGTATAGTTTGCGATTATTTATAAATTGTCTAGTATTTGCTTATTTCATAATAGAAATTCCAATAAACAGAATAAACTGCTTGGCAACAATACAACTGCAAGACACTCCATGCGTCGAATGTTTCGCCCATTCATCAACACTTTTTTTATATCGTACAGTATGGTGCGCTAAAAAGCTTGAATAAAAATGCTTGGTGATGGTCTATGAATACTCCTTTAGTTTATTACTTCATATTCGGATAAGAATTCAGTATCTACAAAGTATCATCGAATCGACAACAATGAAGACGATGAAGTATTGCCGTAGAAAAAGAATATTATAATATAGTGTTTCACAAGTCGAAAACATTTTTTGAGCTCGTGATCATTTCCAACATCGACTGATCTCTCGTTGAAAAAAAAAAACTCGTCTCTCGTAAAATGATATACTATTACATGCGCGATCAAACCGAGTTGACTTGTCATGAACTTCTTATCAGTAGTAAGCTGTATATTTGATGTCATTTTCATTTGAATAATACGAGATAATATTCAAAAATATTACTTATTATTATTATAGATATTTGTTTCATTTAATGAAAATCCCAACTACATGCATGTGAAAAGTTGCTCGAGTTGAAACAAAATTAGGTACCTATATGACTTATACCTTTGGTATGGAAACAATTTCGTGAAACAATGGAGGTTGAAGTTCAATATTGATATCGATTGATAATTCGAATTGAGGTGGGCCATGATACCTACTTATACAATGTGCAACCAAACAGAATAACTGGGCTATAGTTTGTCTAGGGTATTGAAATGGACTATTGAGTATATATTTTATTGAACGAAATAGTTATTTCCTAGGCAGCAAAGTAATAGATTGACTGCCGCGGCTGATAGTTTCTACGCGAGCCTAGCGAGGCTATTAATTCAGCCAAGGCAGTCAATCTACTTTGCTGCCATGTGAAACATATAATTTTTTCTCCAGATGTTATAAAACTAATTTTGTGTAATTTTTTTATTAAAAACTCCATCAGTTTGTGTTCACCCAATAGCAGTGTCAATCCCAATCCAATGTATTGAAGGGTTCTGCGTAGGTCCAACGAGAAAAGTTCTGATGAGCTTTCAATTTCTGTGGACCTCGCATACATAGAAATTCTGAAAACGGAAGGCTTTAGAGTGGGTTACAAGTATTGGCAAGTTTTACTTAGGCTGAAGTAGTAACCAACGTAAGGAAGCTAAGGAGAGCGCCACGTCTGTGCCAATGGAGCAGGGGTCTTCGACCTCAGAGGCTTCAGCCTCAAAGACTATAGATCAGGTCCCTGTCATGGATGAGGCACCAGGCCCTAGCGGACTTTCAGGTCTGGATGAGACAAGGGCACCGAAGAAGCCCAGCCAACCAACACCAGCAGCGAGCAACAAAAAGTTTGAAAACAAAGGAGCCAAATTTCCCCCCAAGAAGTCGAACGGTTCGAACTAATAGGCTGCTAAGCACATCCGAATAGTTCTTGCATGATGAAGGTTTATTCGATGGGCTCAACGTAGCCTTTATCCAATGGATCCTTGGACCCATGGAAGTCGAATCGAAGGACTTTCAACCCAAACATGTAGTGACAATGAACATGACAATCCTAGAGCAGCAATTGCATTGCAAACACTAATTTCATTTCTATTCCAGATTTTACTAACAGAGACTAGGTATAGCAGTAGTAGCAGAAGTGCCGACACTGCCGACTGACGGAGGTGAGCAAGAGGTAATTTCAGCCTCGGTTTACTTCCCTGATGATGGAACGGAACAACCGCCTCCTGAAGAATTTGCAAGACTCAGCAACTACTGCCGCAGAAGGAACAAACCTTTTATCATCGGTGGTGACGCCAATGCGCACCATACCATTTGAGTACCAACATCAATAGAAGATGTGAGTTCCTACTTGAATGTCTTTCGTCCAAGAACATCGATATAATCAATAAAGGGAATGAAGCAACCTTCAGAAACCGTAATAGGCAAGAGGTCTTAGCGTTGACCTTGGCCAGTCCGTCTATAAACTACGAAAGTCTCAATTGGCACGTCTCCGATGAACCCTCACTGTCGGATCATAATCATATCAGATTCGACAAAGAGGCAAAGGGGACGAATACCTCAGAATATAGGAATCCGAAACTGACCGATTGAAACACATAACGTGAATACTCAAAGTCGGAATTTGAGGACCTAAACATCAGCATTGAAACCATCCAGGATATGGAGCAGGTTTCAACGCAACTCCAAAATCTCATAACAAAATCCTATGAGCAAAGCTGTCCTGTAAAACAAAAGGTTTCGAACCGGAATGTAACTTGGTGGAACAAACAGCTTGGCAAACTTAGAGCTGCAGCCAGACGACTCTTAGTCTCCAATAGGTCAAAACGTATACAGGCAACTGGGACGATCACAGGAAGGCCTTGACAGAGTACAACAAAAAATTGAAAAGATCTAAGAGGTTAACGTGGAGGAAGTTCCGTGAAGGTATTAATGAATTGGAATTGGTCTGCTTCAGAATTCGGAAGGTACCTACACGCGAAATTCAGAGGAAAGCTTGAGACTGCTAATGAACACTCACTCTCCAGGAAGCATCAGAAACGCACTTCGTCCCACCAACCGCTAAAAGATCCTCGTAGCACTTTCAAGCCCTACAAATCTCCAGGCGGTGACGACATCATACCGGCTGTCCTTCAAGAGGGTATCGAGGAGATACTGCCCGTACTGGTACGATTATTTCGAACCAGCTATTTCTTGCGCTACATTCCGCAAACATGGAGAGAGGTGAATGTGGTCTTTATTGGAAAGATGGGCAAACGTTCCAGCGACCAGCATAAATCCTATAGACCTATTAGCCTTACTTCGTTTCTTCAGAAAACAATTGAGAAGCTACTTGATCGAAACATCAGAAGCAAAATTCTGTCGAATAGTCCGTTTCACAAAAATCAATTTGCCTACCAATCAGGCAAATCTACAGATACCCCCTTACATAGTCTGGTGAAGGAGATTGAAGAGGTTTATGTAGACAAAGAAATTGCTCTGTGTGCTTTCATCGAAACCTATAGAAGGGGCGTTCGATAACACTTCCTACGAATCGATAGAGCGAGCCACAACCCTCAAGGGATTCGAGGCTCCAATAACAGGCAGGATACAATCCATGCTCAGTAGTAGAAGGATGAAAGCTACACTGGGAAGCAGCTCGATAACTGCACAGGCCACAAGAGGTTGCCCTGTCTCCTCTTTTGTGGTCCATAGTTGCCGATAACTTATTCAACAAACTAAGCACTGCTGGCCTCGATATTCGAGGCTAT